CACCAAAGTTGTAAAGTTCGTTTTCGACATGACAACTTGTTTTTCCCCATCTCTTCCACAAATTATACCGACATCAAATATATCTAAAGTACATTTTTATGCCCACTCTGGCCACTCTGTAAGCTATGGAACTTTTCCATGTCAAGTGATGTGTATTTTTTGGATACCCAAGAGATGCAGCTTTAAGGCTCACAAATAGCAATATGAGGAAACCCCCACATTCTCTTATAGCTATTCCTTCTGATAAATTCTTAGAAATGAAATGCTGAGCTCAAAAGATAATGCAATTTCTGAACTTTCTTATATTACCAAGTTCCTCTTCCCAAAGACTGTAATGTTTTGATTTCCCTAGTCTTAAAGAAACCTAGATATTTAGGGATATAGGACACTAACTTTGCCAGTTTATAGATACAACCATGGCTCTGGTCTTTGAAATGTGCTATCCCAAGTAACAGTTACTTTTGCAAACTTAGCAATAATTTTCTTTTCTATCTTCTCAGAACAACTGCAGGGAACACTTTTTACTCAGAGGATCTGCATTTTGTTTGGCATTCCTACTTTCCTTTCATCCACAGAAGAACAACTTGAATTATAAACAATAAACCATTCTATCTCCAGGCATTGTAGTACATGCTATAATCCCAGCACTGAGGCAAGAGGACAAGTTCCTAGACAGTTTTTGAGACTGTCTCAAAACAAACAAAAATTTAAATAAAAACATGAGCGTGCGCACGCGCGCGCCCCCCCCCCCACACTTCCAAGTTACTACCAAAACATAGCAATATAGTAGACATGAACCTGGAATCTGATAAATCAAGAGCCTTTCTTTTGACTGGTCTAAGGGCTCAGAACACCTAGTGAACCCAAGTGCATTTAAGCTGACTCAGGTGGCACCTCAAGTTTCAGCTTCACAGTGGTTCAGCTAATTTGCTTTTTATTTCTTAATTTCCTCTGAACAAAGGAAATGCAATAATTCGAACTTCCATGAACAGATATTTGAAGTATTTTTTTCCAACTATCAGCTTGTACATGTATGTCTATGTTTGTGTGTGTATTTTCTTTCCTGGTGCTGAGTTTGAGCTTGGAGCCTCTGGCCTGCCCAGTATGCTCACTTGGTTAGTGTTCTACCACTGGAGTCATATTTCCAGCCAGGTCTTTTGCTGGTTATTTTGGAGATGGAGTTTGTAGACTTTTTCTGCCTGGACTGGCTTCCCACTATGGTATTCTGGAAGTCAGCCTCCTAAATAGCCACTACATAGATATTAACTTTTCCCAATTTGGTAAATAGGTGGTTATTACTTTGACTAGAACTCTCTAGACTCAGGGCCTGAATGATGTCCCTGAGATTTTTTTTTTGCCTTGCTCAAGGCTAGTGCTTTACCACTTAAGCCATAGATCTACTTTCAGGTTTTTGGTGGCTAGAGATACAAGTCTCATAGCCGGACACTGGTGACTTACACCTGTAATCATAGCTACTTAGGAGGCTGAGATCTGAGGATCATGGTTTACAGTCAGCCAAGGCAGAAAAGTCCATAAGACTCACAGAAAAAGCCGGAAGTGGTGCTGTGGTTCAAGTGGTAGAGCGCTAACCTTGAGCAAAAGGAGCTCAGGGACAGCGCCCAGGCCGAGTTCAAGTCTTAGGACCAGCAAGTAAAAAAAAAAAGTTTCATGGACTTTCAGGACTGGCTTTGAACCATGAACCTCAGATCTCAGCTCCTGAAGAACTAGGACTGCAGGTGTGAGCCACTGGCACCTGGCAAGGTATAGTCCAGACTGGTCTTGAACTTGTCATCTTTCTGCCTTATCTTCCTCACTGATGTGTGAGGAGCCAGCTGGAGGTGTTTTTGAGTCAGAGTTTCACTATGCACACCAGGCTGGCCTTGAATTCACATCCTCTTGCTTCAGCCTCCCCAGTGCTGGGATTATCAGGGCACACCACCATAGCTGGCTTAAGAAAGGAGTTCTCACTTCCTGATAATCTAGGCTTCTTTGATTAGCGCCAGGCGTGTGAAGACGGCCCCTCAGTTCATTCAGGACGTTCTCTCCCTACCTTACTGCCGAAGTTCAGTTCACTCTGAATACTCTGTCCTGAAGTTCTGACTGGCAGCCATGCTCTGCTGTCCCTGGGGGCATGTCAGACCACCCAGGCTTGCATGGCTATGTGTGGGTATAGGCTCCAGAGATCAGTAGACCACCCTCATGCCCTTCCAGACTTGTAAGGCTGAAATGACTTACAAAGTAGTTTTTAAAAACCTCTCAATAAGTAGTATTTAATTTTAAAAGTTGTTTTTAATAATACTTGCATGAGGGCTGGGAAGGTGGCTCAGTGGCAGAGTGCTTGCCTTGCATGCATGAGGCCCTGGGTTCGATTCCTCAGCACCCCATAAGCAAAAAGAAAAAAGCCAGAAGTGGTGCTGTAGCTCAAGTGGTAGAGCACTAGCATTGAGCTGAAGAGCTGAGGGACAGTGTTCAGGCCCAGAGTTCAGGCCCCCCAACTGACAAAAAAAAAAAAATACTTGCATGGACCTCCGGGTGGAGTTTGATAAGAAATCTTTTCCTCTTGAAGCTTAGTTTACGGACCTTGGACCAGTTGAAGGTGTTTATTTTGGTGGTCCCCTGGAATGCAGAAGACAGATGTAAGGTGACATATCTGTACTATAAACACAAACTCCTCATCAAATAGAGATTACCACACAGCAACTTGCTGCCATTAAAATGGCAGCTTGATATGATGCCACTTCATCTGGAATGTTAACATGAAACATGCTAAGCTGCTTCAGAATGATGGCTGGGCTTAACAGGGCTTTATTACATTAAAAAAAAATCAGTGTTTACATCACACATTTGAGGTCCACTCCAGCAAAGGGAAGGGATATGGAAGGGGCAGTGGTGGTTGGACTGGGAGTAGTGTCAGGTTTCTCTCTGTAGGAAAGACCAGAGGAGCCCTGGCCAGATGGGCTGGACTACAGCTTCCACATCTACAGATGGACAGACAGAAACAAATGCAGGGCGTGAGCAGGTACACTCAATGTATGTAGCTTTGAGAAGGGTCAGGGGAGGTGACGCTCAAGTACCCTAAAAGCAGCAAGCACTCTGAGCTCTGAGTCCATGGAGCGTGTCTCCTCCTCCCTGCCCCCTCCTCGCCAGTCTTTGCCTCCCCTGCTCTCTTCCCTCCCCCTCCTCTCCTTTCTCCTCCCTTCCCCTCTTCTCTCCACCCCTCCCTACTTCTTTCTTTTTCCTGTGGATTTTTTGTCATTAGTGGGGCTTACACTCAGGGCCAGGGTGCTGTCCTGAGTTTTTTGTTTTGGCTCAAGGCTAGCACTCTTACCACTGAGCCACAGCCCACTTTCAGTTTTCTGGTGCTTAAGTGGAGATGAGTCTCATAGCCTTTCTGCCCAGGCTGGCTTGAACTGCAATCCTCAGGTATCAGTCTCCTGAGTAGTAGCTAGGATTATGGGTATGAGACACCTGACCCTGGCATGATCTATCTGTCTATCTGTCTGTCTGTCTGTCTGTCTGTCTGTCTATCTATCTATCTATCTATCTATCTATCTATCTATCTATCTATCTATCTGCCCTCCCCTTTACCCCCTACCATAAGGCTTGAACTCTTGACCTGGGCAATTGTCCCTGAACATTTTTTGCTCAAGGCTAGCACTCTATCACTTGAGCCACCAAAGCCACTTATAGTTTTTTCTGAGTAGTTTATTGGAGAGAACTGGAGGAGGTGTGGCTGCATTGATGACTTCAGGGCCTAGGGGAACTCCACTGCCCCTAGGTATGCCACTTTGAGTAGCATATTGGAGATAAGAGTCTCACAGACTTTCCTGCCCAGGCTGGCTTTGAACCACAATCCTCCTATCTCAGCTGCTTGAGTAGCTAGGATTGCAGACATGAGTCACTGGTGTCTGGATTCTTTTTTTTTTTTTTTTTGGGTCCGGTCATGGGGCCTGAACTCTGGGCCTGGGCACTGTCCCTCAGCTCTTCAGCTCAAGGCTAGCGCTCTACCACTTGAGCCACAGTGCCATTTCTGGCTTTTTTTTTCTTTTTTGCTTATGTGGTGCTGAGGAATCGAACCCAGGGCCTCAGGCATGCAAGGCAAGTGCGCTCCCACTGAGCCACCTTCCCAGCCCTGGTGCCTGGATTCTTATGGATTGTTCAGTCTCACGTAACAGTCCAGACTGGCCTGGAACTTCCTGCCTCTGCCTCAAGATATGCCCCACAACACTTGGCCATAGCTCTTGGCTTCCACGTGTTATTCTCCACTAAAATGGGAGCCCCTGGAGAAACCGCTGATGCCAGGTCAGGGAAGACTATGTGCTGTCTGATAAGACAAGTGTCACAAAGTAAAGGTGCACATCAGAGTGACACAGAAACCTGTACTAGATGTTAGGGGCTAGGAAGGTGGCTCGGAGGCAGAGTGCTTGTCTCACAAGTGTAAGGGTACAATTCCTCAGCACCACATAAACAGAAGAGGCTGGAAGTGGTGCTGTGGTTCAAGAGGTAGAGTGCTAGCTTTGAGCTGAAGAGCTGAGGGACAGAAAGTAGGCTGAGTTAAAGCCCCAGGATTGGCAAAAAAAAAAGAGAGGAGGGTGGAGAAGGGAGGAAGGGGCTTGGAGAGAATGAGGGAACAGATGGTACTGTATGAAAGGAAATGTACTCATTACCTGACTCATGTGAATATAACCCCTCTGTGCATCACCTCTATAATAACAATTAAGTAAATTAAAAACAAAAGACTTAAAAAGTATGAAGGCCCTTTCTGATAGTCCATCCTCTACTGTTGACATCAACTCCATTTACTCTTTTCTGAAAACAGTGAGGTAAAGACTGGGTCTGTCAGATACAGCTGGAAAACGCGCGAGACCCAACAGAGGTGATCTCTGAGGACAAGAGCCAGCAACTGGGGACAAAAGACCTAAGGTTATATGACCCAGCTATATAAGACACTCAGAACAAGCATGTCCACATGATAGCCACATCACATTATGTCCTGATTCTGGGTGCTAGTGTTTGTGAAGGCTGTGGGAGGAACTGCTAGCAGGTAAAGGAATTTTTAAAATTTTATTTTATTAAAAGTGCAGTCCATTTCATAAATATACAATAGAAGCAATGCCATTCAATACCTGCCCCATCACCTCATACTCTATCACTTTATTCTTGAGGAGATGAGGATATTAGAGAATTGGATTTGGTGATGGTAACACAACTCTGAAAATATCCTAAGAACAGATCGACTATATATTCTAGAATGATCAGTTTTATGGTATAGGACTTGCATCTCAATTAAAAATATCCTGGATGGCATAATGGTACTATACTTCTAGCTACTTGGGAGATGGATACATGAAGATCAAGGTCTGATGCTGATTCAGGGAAAAACCACAAGATTATCTGAAAAACTACAAGCAAAAAGATTGGAGGCATGGCTCAGGTGCATAGTATTTGCCCAGCAAGCAGGAGACCCTCAATTCAAATTCTAGTACCGGAAAAAACAAAAAACAAAAAACCTGCATGCCTGTCTGTCTTCTGTACAGAAGTTGTGTTGGGCATGATAAAGAATTCTAGGTCAGAAATATTTTTTTTTTTGGGTCTGGTTGTGGGGCCCGAACTCTGGGCCTGGGCGCTGTCCCTCAGCTCTTCAGCTCAAGGCTAGCACTCTACCACTTGAGCCACAGCACCACTTCCAGCTTTTTTTCTTTTTGCTCATGTGGTGCTGAGGAATCAAACCCAGGGCCTCATGCATGCAAGGCAAGAGCTCTACCACTGAGCCACCTTCCCAGCCCTATAAGTACTTTCAAATGGAACTTTTCCCTCATTGCTTTAGCATTTTCCTCTGGTGCTTGTCTTATCTCCTCAATATCTGGAAACTGGATATGAGAGTTCCTGGGTTGTGTTTTTTGAAATTTTGTTTAGCTGGTCACTGGGGGCTCATGCCTGTAGTCCTAAATACTCAGGAGGCAGAGATTTAAGGATCATAGTGTGAAGCCAGCCTGGACAGGAAAAGACTTTGAGACTCTTATCTCCAATTAACCACTAAAAAACTGGAGGTGGAGGGGCTGGGAAGGTGGCTCAGTGGTAGAATGCAGTGCTTGCCTTGCATGCAAAAGCCGGAAATGACGCTGTGGCTCAAGTGGTAGAGTGCTAGCCTTGAGCTGAAGAGCTGAGGGACAGCACCCAGGCCCAGAGTTCAGGCCCCATGACCGACAACAAACAAACAAACAAACAAGAAAAAACTGGAGGTGGAGCTGTGGCTTAATTGACAGAGCACCAGACTTGAGAGAAAAAAGTAAGAAAAAGCCCAGCCCTGATTTCAAGCCCCAGTGTTGGCAAACTGACATGTGCAGGCCCAGCTCATGTTCCAGCTGCAGGCTCCCCAGGAGCCTGCCTTCAGGGAGATGCCTTGTTCCTTCCCTCCGACTCATACCACAATGAGGAGACCCTGGCCCTTCAGCAGCACAGGAATCATCTACTCTGTCTCCCATCTAGGCTATAACTGCTCCTTGCACCGATGAACCAAGCTTCTGCCCTTGCTGTTAGAGAGCAGTGGGCAGCTGGGAGCCGGGGCTCCAGAATAGTGAAGATGATCACTAATGTTACAGAAGGACTGGGAAACAATCTCTCCAACACCTCATTCATCAAAAAAAAGCTTACCAATCAATAAATGTGACAAACATTCCATGTCACAGACCACCACCACCACCACCACCACCACCACCACCACCACCACCACCACCCAGCTATGCTCTGGCCCCTCCCTGTCTCCTCCACTGACCTGGAATACGAGGACACCCATGTGAGAGACTGCCAGGTTGATCTTGGTCCCCTCCCGGTCAGAAGCTGTGTGAAACCTGATGCCATACATTTCCAGCTTTCTAGCAATCTCCAGTACCTGGAAATCGGACTCAGCAGGCGTCTGGCCCCTAAAAGGATAGACAGTTTATTCTATCACTGAAACACTGGGTTTCTAAGAAAGCTAAAATATATTAGAGAAATGACTGGGAAAACAGTGAAATAAAACTACCCAACAGACTAAGCAGGAATGTTTGTAGAGGACAGATGGTTCACTGTCTCTGTTTACTGCCTACAAAACCAAAGTACTACATGACAGACCAAAGGAACAGTTTCTTCTGCATCTATTCCTCTGTCCTATTCTAATCTACTTACAATGGTACAATGTTTCCTTAACATTCACTAGTCGGGCTGGGAAGGTGGCTCAGTGGTAGAGCGCTTGCCTTGCATGCCTGAGGCCCTGGGTTCGATTCCTCAGCACCACATAAGCAAAAAGAAAAAAGCTGGAAGTGGCGATGTGGCTCAAGTGGTGGGATAGCGCCCAGGCCCAGAGTTTAGGCCCCACGACCGGACCAAAAAAAAACAAAACATTCACTAGTCTTCAAATTTACTCTAGAATGACAGGTTATATGCAAAAATCATATGTAGCTGCTGACTATTGTGAGAGAAAATGCCACAGATTCGCATGGAGCCTTATTAAGCTCAATTTAAAATGCTAAAGTAGGAAGTGGCTCTGTGGCTCAAGCAGTAGAGCGCTTATCTTGAGCTGAAGAGCACAGGGACAGCGCCTAAGCCCAGAGTTCAAGCCCCACAACCACCACCACCACCACCACCAAAAACAACAAAACACTATTTTCAGAACACATCCTTCTAAGCATTACATTTTTTGTGAGAATGAAATTATGAAGTGAAATAACTGTGTGGTTGCCAAACAATGTTTGTTTTCTGTCTCAGTGTGCCATGTGTCTAGTTTACAGCCCAGGTCACCAGCAGACAGAAGTGAGAGCAGTCCGTGTCCCACTGAACAGCCTCCAGGAAAGCTGTAGGTAGGACACTGCTGTGCGTGCTAATGCACATTGCCTGGCTCTACATGTGGGCTATTTTCTTAGCAATCGTTTCCTTTCCCTTTTTTTTTTTTTTGTCGGTCATGAGGCTTGAACTCTGGGACGGGGCGCTGCCCCTCAGCTCTTAAACTCAAGGCTAGTGCTCTACCACTTGAGCCACAGCGCCACTTCTGGCTTTCAGGTGGTTTATCAGAGATAAGAGTCTCACAGACTTTATGCTCGGGCTGGCTTTGAACTGTGATCCTCAGATCTCATCCTCCTGAGTAGCCAGGATTACAGGTATGAGACACCAACGCCTGGCAGAAATCTTTTTCTTTTAGGGTGGAACCTAGCATTTTATTAAGATCTTCATTAAATTGCTGAAATTGAGAAACCTCCAAATATGAATCCCCAAAGGCCCTTTCTGCTTGTGGCAAGTAGTCATGAATAGGCATGTAAAATCAAGCTGGCCCCTCCTCTGCGCCACACCGGCCAAGGACACTTTCTCTATGGCCAGCTGTACAGTTCAAGTCTCCCTTGTGCATTAATTGCTCTTATATCAAATGTCTGAACTAGGGCTTCTCAGAGCCTGTGATTTCCATTGTAGACGATCTACAAACACCTGATTACATGTAGACAATGGTCTCCCCAGAACCCTAGACCTACCTGTCCATTTGGGGTTGCTACCTCAGCTGGATACTCCACAGAAAACAAGCCTCATCCACTCATCCTCCAGGTGTTCTCCCTTCTCTATGTTATATCTTATCTCAGAACAGATCTAAACCAGAAGTTCTCTATCTGAGAGAGTACTTTTTTTTGAGGGCATCAGTGTCTAGCATCTTTCCTGCTACAAGTTGGAAGAAATCCAAGACTTGCATATGGTGAAGCCAAGGGCGACTAGAGCTCTGAAGTTGGGGCCAGGAGCTTCCTCAAGGTAAGACCAGGTAAGTAGACTCTGGGCCACAAAAACCGACGGACACCAGAGACAATTCACATGTTGTATCTGAGGTAGAGCTCTGCCTACTGCCTCTCCTGTCCAAGAGGGGATACCAGTGTGTGCCTATGGGAGTTTAAGGATCATTAAGTGCTTGACAAAGCAACTAGCTCATGAGCATTGCCTTGGGCCACCTGAATCAGCTGGGCTTCTGCTCACACCAGTGCTTAAATTGTAACTGTCAGCTTTGTGCTCCACTACCCTTCCTGTTCCCAGACAAGTGCTCGGTCAGGATTGCTTCAGGATTGTCACCAAGATTACAAGATTAGTTTACATCTGAGTGACAACTCAGATATACAAGGGCCGTCAGCAGGTCCCAGTACAGCTTCACCTACACATCACACGACAAAGTCAACAGGCTCTTTCTTCATGAAGTCAAGGTGAAGCCTTCCAGAGCCATGTTCACAGGCCTAACTCCTCTGGTGAACAGCAGAGCTCCCAGTCCCTGCCCCTGAGCCTACCACAGCCTTTCACCATCAGCACCCTCCATTTGATCTGAAGAGCCCACCAGTGACAGTTCTGGCAGAAATCAAAATAGTCAAGTCAAAGATCATGCCTGTCGCCAGGCGCTGGTGGCTCACGCCTGTAATCCTAGCTACTCAGGAGGCTGAGATCTGAGGATCGCGGTTCAAAGCCAGCCTGGGCAGGAGAGACCGTGAGACTCCTATCTCCAATAAACCACCAGAAAACCGGAAGTGGCGCTGTAGCTCAAGTGGTAGAGCGCTCGCCTTGAGCTGAAGAGCGGAGGGACAGTGCCCAGGCCCAGAGTTCAAGCCCCACGACCGACAAAAAAAAAAAAAAAGATCATGCCTGTCAGCACAGTTCCAACGCCCCACAGGGGCTGATGCCAGCCTGGATCTACTTCACCACAGTGGGGGCTGCTTTCCACTGGAAGTGACTCCTGCCACACTCCGGGGCTAGGGAATGCCTCACCTTCTCCCCCAGGCAAGCAGCAGCTCCTGCCTAGGGAGAGCACTCAGCTCTCGTCCCAGAATTGGGTGCCTTTGCTGCCCTCCTAAAGCAGCGGTTTGCACTGAGCCTGGGCTGTGGTCATCTGTGAGCAGGTGTGTCCTGAGACCAGGAGGAACAGGTGTCACTTCTATCCAAATCCCTCAGATGCCCAAACAACAGCTCCCCCTGGGTTACACACCATCGAGTCCTCACTGCAGTAACTACATACGGGCAGCCATTCCTAGCTGACTTACGTGTGTCCCTGATGGAAGTCTAGTATCTTTCCCAAAAGGTGCTCCTGGGTGGGCAAGTACTTGTTGGATTTGAGGTGCTCTCGGTCCAGAGTTTCATCATAATCTCCTATTTCGGCTGATACAATAAAAGTCAATCATTTGGATTTTGAAATGACAAGTAATTATATAGACAAATTATATAGACAATTTAAAAAAACCACCCAAAGTTGGCAGTAATATTCCTAGCCCTCCCTCCTCTACCCCAATATATTGACGGTGCATGGTGCTCCTGCTTGAAGTTGTATATGTGAAGAAGAGACAGGAGGATCACAGTTCAAGGCCAGCCTGAGGAAGAAGTTAATAAGACCTTATTTCAAAGAACATGTTGCCTATATCTATATCTATCTATATGCACACACACAAAATTGTAAGACCATATATGAAAAATAACTAAAGCAAAAAAAGAAGTAGGGTGTAGCCCAACCGGTAGAGGGCTTGCCTAAGCTGAGTTCAAACACTAGTCATTATGTAACAGAAACTCGCAACATTTTGTTATTTTTCCAAATATTTTATATTTTTCAAAGGCAGGTAAAAGGTTTAAAAAATGTCAGGAAGAGAAAAAACTCAAGAAAACCCCACTGAGAGGCTCCAGGAGGGTATAGGGGAACCCTGGGCTAATATGCTCACTGCTTTCCAAAGCCACACTCTGTAAGTTGTCCTGTGGCTGTGTGACCAAAAGAATATACTTTGTTCCAAAAAATATTTTTTTTTTTGGGTCCGGTCATGGGGCCTGAACTCTGCGCCTGGGCGCTGTCCCTCAGCTCTTCAGCTCAAGGCTAGTGCTCTACCACTTGAGCCACAGCGCCACTTCAGCTTTTTTCTTATGTGGTGCTGAGGAATTGAACCCAGGGCCTCAGGCATGCAAGGCAAGTGCTCTACCACTGAGCCACCTTCCCAGCCCCCCCAAAAATATTTTTAAATAAATTTTCCTTCAGAACTTTTGAAATTTCTTGAAGAATTTTCTCATTTCTTGTATTTTAAGGCTACAAATATGCACATGGACTGGTACTGAGACTAGAACTCAAGAGATTCATACTCTTGTTTTTTCACTCACATTTGTTGTTCTACCACTTGAGCCAGGACACCAATGCCAACATGCAAGAGTCCTGCAATCCTCTCCCACAGTATAACCCCTGCTTTCACTGTATTTGATGTTGGTATAATTTGTGGCAAGGAAGGGAAAAAACAAATCGTTTAAATAGGGATACAGGTGGACCCATTGCAACAATGAGATGTACAAGTTGTTATGTCGAAAGCGAACTTTACAACTTTGTGGGAGGGAGGGAGGAGGACTGGGTGGAGGGGTGGGGGGAGGCTGGGAAGGGGAAACAAAGGAAGAGGCTGCAATGCTTGATAAGAAATGTACTCATTATCTTGCTCATGTAAATGTAACCCCTCTGTACAGTATTTTCAGACACACAAAAAAAGTCCTGCAATTGTAGATTGCTGCCTGCAGTCCTCAATCGTAATCCTCAGTGTTGTTACCAGGTAGGGTTACAGATGGAGAGCCAGCAGTGCTTCTCCAACAGCTCCCTGGTTCTGGGGCTTCAACATAGGGCCTGGGTGATGTATCTGAGCTTTTTTTGCTCAAAGCTAGCCCTCTACCACGTGAGCTACAGCTCCATTTCGGGCTTTGGTAAGTAATTGGAGATCAGTCTCATGGACTCTTCTGCCTCGGCTGGCTTTGAACTGTGGTCCTCAGATCTCAGCTTCCTGAGTAGCTGGGATTATAGGCATGAAACACAAGCACTGAGCCTTTCTTTTTCACTTTTTAGTGTATTAGTGTTTTAACTGTGGTATTTCTACACATGCGTATAATGTACTTTGATCAAATGCACCATTATGCCTTCTTAGACCCTCTTTTTTCCCATAGTTTATTTCTGAATAATTCTTCACACTCTGCTGTACCATTTTTATTTCATGTGAGATACTGAAGAAATGTTTTCTTTCCTTATGGTTAATGTTTAACTAGTTGGAGGTGACTTTTATTCCAGAAGGACTCCTTTTAGGAATGAAGAGAATTTGGTTTATAGTTTGACTCTAGCCTGAAGTTGAATTGTTGTCGACATGCATGAAGGCAGATGGGTGTGGTGGCACAAAGCCATAACCTCAGCCCTGGGAGGCAGAAGGAAGATAACAGAGTTCAGGGTCAGTCTGGGCTACAGTGACACTATCTCAAAAACCAAGGGCCAACAAAGTAGATCAGTGGTAGAGTGCTTGCCTAACAGGTTGTGAGGCCTTAACTTAGATCTCTAGCACTACCAAAAAACATAAATACATAAACGAGAGACAACCCAAAATGATGAATGTGGCTATAGGTTTTGTCTCTGTCTCTAGGCAAAGACTGTACCTCAGGAGTTTACAGAAGTTAAACTTCAGCTTATCAGGAATATAATGACTATATGAACTAAGTGCATCAGCTCTGTGACCTGTACCAGCTAGCCTTGGGGCGTAGATACTAACACTGGAGAAGGTGGGAAATGAGCAGGGCTGCAGTGGTGGCAGTGCAGGTCAAGCGCTCCTCCAGAAGGTCCCTTCTTAGTTGCAAGGCAAACAAGTACCTAGAAGGCGACACAATACAAGACACATCAACCCTGAGAGTTCTCTGAACATAACACTGACACCAGCTGTGAAGAGAGCAAACACACCCTGCAAGCAGCAGCAACCAACACTGAGCAAAATGCGGGGCCCTCTTGGAACCAGCAAGGTTACAAAAGGCCTTTCATGCGAAGAGCCAGCAGCAAGCAAAGGTCAGATGAGAAATCGGTTCAGCAGGCTGAGTCACACACGTCAGAGCACTCAAAAGTGCTGAGCATACACAGACACTGCCAGGAGAACAACAGCAAAGAGAAATTAGCCTTCTCAGGCATACCATATACCCACACAATCACTATCTGCAGCAATACCTTCAAAAGAAAGTTCACAGATACACATTATAAAACTGAACTCAACGTTTTATTCAGAAAAGTAGAATTAAAACATAACCCAAAATATGCTTGTGAAGCTGTGTGTGTGTGTGAGAGAGAAAGCGCGAGAGAGAGACAGAGAGAGAAAGCGCGAGAGAGAGACAGAGAGAGAGAGACAAGAGAGAGACAGAGAGAGAGACAGAGAGAGAGAGACAGAGAGAGAGACAGAGAGAGAGACAGAGAGAAAGACAGAGAGAGACAGAGAGAGACAGAGAGAGAGACAGAGAGAGAGACAGAGAGAAAGACAGAGAGAGACAGAGAGAGAGACAGAGAGAAAGACAGAGAGAGAGAGACAGAGAGACAGAGAGAGAGAGAGAGACAGAGAGAGAGAGAGTCCTGAGGCTTGAACTCAGGGCCTAGACACTATCCTTGAGCTTTTTTCACTCAGAGCTAGTGCTCTATCACTTGAACCACAACTCCACTTCCAGCTTATTTGGTGTTGGAGAGAAATCTTGTGGATTTTCCTGACCATGTGGCTTTGAACTGTGATCCTTAGATCTCAGTCTTCTGAGTAGCTAGGATTACAAGTGTGAGCCACCGGCACTCCACTCTTGTGAAGCTTTGAGCAGATTGATATTTAGTCTTGGTTAAGATTTGAGACTAGATTTTTTTTTTGGGTCCGGTCATGGGCCTGAACTCTGGGCCTGGGCACTGTCCCTCAGCTCTTCAGCTCAAGGCTAGAGCTCTACCACTTGAGCCACAGCGCCACTTCCGGCTTTTTCTTTTTGCTTATGTGGTGCTGAGAAATCGAACCCAGGGACTCATGCATGCAAGGCAAGCACTCTACCGCTGAGCCACCTTCCCAGCCCTGAGACTAGATTTTTGATCTTTCTAGAAATGGGCACTCTGGAACACCAGCAGTGAGAATATAACTAGATAAGGCATTTGAGATATTTGCATATGCATTTATTCCATTAATAAGTAAGCAAGGAGCACATATTAAGTTCTTGGAGCTGGAATATAAAGACAAACAATACAAACTCTCTGTCCCCACTGAAATCTACATTTTAGTTAAATCTATTAAAAATTATCACATTTTCTTAAAACTTAAGATGTGTATGCCTGATACTCAGCAGTTCCATTTTTGTAAACTTTCTACAACAGTTTTCCCAGAGCTTACAAACATTATGAATGTTTCTTTGTAGTGCTTAACAGACAAAAATTAGTCATAAGCCAGGTGCTGGTGGCTCATGCCTGTAATCCTAGCTATATAGGACACTGAGAGCTGAGGATTGCCGTCATGAAGACTGAGGTCCCCAAGAGACTCATCTTCAATTAACCACTCAAAAACCAGAAGTAGAGCTGTGGCTCAAAGTGGTGGAGTGCTAGCCTTGAGCAAAAGAGCTCAGGGACAGTGCCCAGGAATGGAAGGACAAAGGGTGAACAAGTGCAGCAGTGGTACTCACTAGACATTATGTTGAAAATGAACTATACCACCTGTGGGTGGGGATGGGAGAGAAAAACTGGGAGAGAACGAGTGAAGAGGTGACATTGTCCAAAAAGAAATGTACTTATTACCTGACTTTTGTAACTATAATCTCTGTACATCATCTTTATAACAAAAAACTTACAAAAATTAATACATGAATGAGAATAAAAAATACAAGGACGCTTCTCTCACTTTGATCAGATGACTACATTTTCTTTCAATAATTTCTACAGAAAATCAAACATGAATTAGAGTACTCCATATATTCATAAGAACTACCAGACAGTGTACTTCTCCTAATTACATAGATTTTTTAAAATGCATGCATGAGCAAAGTATCTACAAACTTTACCCACATGCATAACTCTCAGCTTACCTGAAAGGGTGCTGGCTCAATATCACCTAACACCACACTCCAGTCTTTGTTTTCAGGTCTCTTCGATGAACCTTTCTTCTACTGCACACTTGTGTTTGTGCAGGAAACAATGGCCAGAATGCTTCTTTTACTACTCTACCTTTACTCATCATTATGTATATACTAGCTCATTCAGTTGGCTGAATACAAGACCCTGCTCAAGTTCAATGTTTGTTATTCACTCTTAACCAAAGACAGATGAATACAAGACCCTGCTCAAATTCAACGTGAGTTATTAACCTGGTATATTCTTCTTGCAACTGACCAGGATCAGGTGGGAAAAATTTTACAGCCAGGCGAAGCACTGTGTTCTTTGGCCCTACAAGAAAAAAAGTCAGTTTCAAAATATCAAGCCAATCTTTATATTTCCTTTTTTGTTAAAAGTATTTTTTTTTCATATAAGAAGGTTTTAGGAAATAATGTCCTGGAAATGGCACTGTGGCTCAAGTGGTAAAGCGCTAGCCTTGAGCTGAAGAGCTGAGGGACAGTGCCCAGGCCCAGAGTTCAAGCCCCACGACCAACGAAAAAAGAAAAAAAAAAAAGAAAAAAAGAAATAGTTTCCTGGCTGGTCATGGTGGCATATGCCTATAATCGCAGCTACAAGGGAGGAGAAGGTAGGAGGATTATTGTCAGATGCCTGCCCAGGCAAAAGCTACACCCTATCTGAAGAACAAAGGATAGCTTTTAAAAGACTGGTGGTGTGGCTCACGTGGTAGAGGGCTTACCAGGAAGCATGAACTCTGGAGTACAACTGCCAGTACCATAAAAAAGTTCTATGAATTTAAGTATCCATCACATGCACTAAAGAAAAACTGTATATCTTTTGACTAAATTACTCAAGGAACTTTAAAAAATAAGCAGGAAATCACACATTAAAATTTAAAATGAGGTTGGTAGGGCTGGGAAGGTGGCTCAGTGGTAGAGCGCTTGCCTCTCATGCATGAGGCCCTGGGTTCAATTGCTCAGCACCACATAAGCAAAAAACTAAAAAAAATAAAAATAAAATAAGATAAGGTCGGTAGTAATGGTGCGTGTTTGTAATCCATCTCAGCACTTGGGAGAATGAGTCAGAAGCATACAAGTTCAAAGCCAGCCTGGGTTATGAAGTGAGACCCACTCTCAAAAAAAAAAAAAAAGAGGGTGCTCGTGGTTCATGCCTGCAATACTGGCTAAATGGGAGTCTGAGATCTGAGGACTGTGGTTCAAAGATAGCCCAGGCAGAAAAGTCCTTGAAATTCTTATCTCTAATTAAGCAGCAAAAAGCAGGAAGTGGGAATGTGGCTCAAGTAATAGAACACTGACCTTGAGTGAAAAAGCCAGGGAAGAGTGTAAGGCCCAAGTCTGAGCCTCAATACTGGTAAAACAAACAAATGAATGCCTTCCTCCCCACCCCAGACCCCACACATAAGCTACACCATATTCCTGTTGATAATACTAGGATAAAAACAACAAAGGGGGGCTGGGAAGGTGGCTCAGTGGTGGAGCGCTCGCCTTGCACGCGTGAGGCTCTGGCTGGGAAGGTGGCTCAGCAGTAGAGTGCTTGCCTTGCATGCCTGAGGCTCTGGCTGGGAAGGTGGCTCAGTGGTGGAGCGCTTGCCTTGCATGCCTGAGGCTCTGGCTGGGAAGGTGGCTCAGCAGTAGAGTGCTTGCCTTGCACGCGTGAGGTTCTGGCTGGGAAGGTGGCTCAGTGGTAGAGCACTTGCCTTGCACGCCTGAGGCTCTGGCTGGGAAGGTGGCTCAGTGGTAGAGCGCTTGCCTTGCATGCTGGGAAGGTGGCTCAGTGGTAGAGCACTTGCCTTGCACGCCTGAGGCTCTGGCTGGGAAGGTGGCTCAGTGGTAGAGCGCTTGCCTTGCATGCCTGAGGCCCTGGGTTCCATTCCTCAGCACCACATAAGCAAAATGAAAAAAGCCAGAAGTGGCGCTGCGGCTCAAGTGGTAGAGCGCTAGCCTTGAGCTGAAGAGCTGAAGGACAGCGCCCAGGCCCAGAGTTCAGGCCCCATGACCGGACCCCCCCCCCCAAAAAAAGAAAGAACTAAGAAACAATATTATATCCCTTTTTTTTGTAGGTCATGGGGCTTGAACATTGGGCCTGAGCACTTCAGCTCTTCAGCTCAAGGTTGGTGCTCTACTACTTGAGCCACAGTGCCACTTCTGGTTTTCTGTTTTTCTTTTTTCTTTTTTTTGCCGGTCATGGGGCCTGAACTATGGGCCTGAGCACTGTCCCTCAGCTCTTCAGCTCAAGGCTAGCACTCTACCACTTAAGCCTCAGCCCCACTTCTGGCTTTTTCTGCTTATGTGGTGCTGAGGAATCGAACCCAGGGCCTCATGCATGCAAGGCAAGCATTCTACCACTGAGCCACCTTCCAAGCCCCTCACTTCTGGTTTTCTGTGGTTAGTTGGAGATAAGAGTCTCATGGACCTTCCTGCCCTGGCTGGCTTTGAATTGAGATTCTCAGATCTCAGCCTCCTGAGTAGCTAGGATTATAAGGTGTGAGCCACTGGTACTCGGCCCAATATTATATCTTAATTTTTATTACATGCTTTATTAAAATAGTTCTTGCTGGGCACTGGCGGTTCAACCTGTAATCTTACTACTCAGGAAGCTGAAATCTGAGGATCACAGTTCAAAGCCAGCTGGGCAGAAAAGTCCCTGGGACTCTTATTTCCAATTAACCCCCAGAAAACCAGAAGTGGAGCTATGGCTCAATGTGGTAGAACACTAGCCATGAGCTCAGGGAGGGTGCCCAGGTCCCGAGTTCGAGCCCCAGATTCTTTTTTTTTCTTTTCTTTTTTTTGTTGTTGGTGGGGCCTCAACTCTGGGCCTGGGTGCTGTCCCTCAGCTTTTCAGCTCAAGTCTAGCGCTCTACCACTTGAGCCACAGCCCCACTTCTGGCTTTTTCTGTTTATGTGGTGCTGAGGAATCGAACCCAGGACCTCATGCATGCAAGGCAATCACTCTACCACTGAACCACCTTCCCAGCCCTCCCCCCCCACAACTGATTTTTCTAGGGGATACTATAATATTATTTCATACTCTGAAAACTGTTAGTTCTGCCCAGGAGAATAGCACACTTCCTCCCACTACTTTTCATGAAGGATAGTACTTAGCCTTACCAGAAATCACCTGTCCCAAACCTGTAATTACCTGCAACTGTCAATCACCTGACTGGAAGTCATTAAGGGACCCAGGCTCTGAGGTCACTGCTGCATCCACTGTGGCCACACCTTTTCCTCACCTTCCCTCTACAATCTCTCTCTGACATTAGTTCCCTCTCTGTACTTCTAAATCTGGTGCAGGCCAGTGGTTTGGTTCTCCCAATAAACTCTTCTGTCTGAATAGTGTAGTGTGCATACTTCCTTGCATACTGGCCAAAAGTTAAGATATTAATAACTTAGCAGTCACATATTCTATGACTTCCAAACTGGAGGCAACTCATGAGGGTTGAATTAAATATACTGGACCCTCCCACCTCTCTGTTCTAGCTTAACTGCAAGGCAACTTTTTTTTTTTTCTTGCCGGTCATGGGGCTTGAACTCTGGGCCTGGGCGCTGTCCCTCAGCTCTTCAGCTCAAAGCTAGCGCTCTACCACCAGAGCCACAGCACCACTTCTGGGTTTTTCTGCTTATGTGGTGCTAAGGAATCGAACCCAGGCCCTCATGCATGCAAGGCAAGCGCTCTACCACTGAGCCACCTTCCCAGCCCACAAGGCAACTTTTAAGTGTGTCAGCTGTGGGTGATTACTTGACTACCATCTACAAAGAGTAGTGATAAACAGACAAGCACATGCCTGCAGCCTGAACTGAATGTCCCAGAGTAAGGCATCTTTCTTTTTTGGTAGTAACGGGGTTTGAATTCAGGGCCATGAGTCATTTCTGCAGCCCTTTTTGCATTAGTTATTTTTCAGGTAGGAACTTGTGTGTTTTACTTGGGCCAGCCTGAGACTGAGATATTCCTACCAAGAGCCTCCTGCACAGCTGAGAAGACAGATGTGCACCAACATACCAAACTTTTTCTGGAAAGGTTTGAGGCTGGCCTCAAACCTTGATCTTCCCAATCTTTGCCTCCTGTGTAGCTAGGACAAGCATGAGCTATACCCATATCCTACCATGAAGCATCTTGAATAGAATTTTAGCGTTAAAGGACTTACTTCGTACTTGTCTAATGATGGGTTTCATAGGTTCAAGCCAAATCTAAAGAGAATTTAACAGAAAAGAATATATTAATTTCATTTAATAAGTATAATATAAACTTTTTAAAATTAGAGTTAAAAGATTTTCTTTTTCGGTCATGGGGCCTGAACTCTGGGCCTGAGCACTGTCTCTCAGCCCTTCAGCTCAAGGCTAGTGCTCTACCACTTGAGCCACAACGCCACTTCCAGTTTTCTGTGGTTAATTGGAGATAAGAGTCTCATGGACCTTCCTGCCCTGGCTGGCTTTGAACTGAGATTCTCAGTTAAAGGCATGAGCCACTGATACCAGCTAAAAGAATTTTTGTAACAGAATTTTTGTGTGTGGGGGCTGGGATGGTGGCTCAGTGGTAGAGCGCTTGCCTTGCATGCATGAGGCCCTGGGTTCGATTCCTCAGCACCACATAAGGAGAAAAAGTGGGAAGTGGTGCTGTGGTTCAAGCAGTAGAGCACTAGCCTTGAGCTGAAGAGCTAAGAGACAGCCCAGGTCCAGAGTTCAGGCCCTACGACCTGCAAAAACAGCATTTTTGTGTGCACGAATGTGTACAGCAGTACTGGGGCTTACGCACAGGAACCTGTGCTCTCATGTGGCTTTTCCACTCAAGGCTGGTGCTCTACCATGTAGGCTCTGTGCTGGGCGACTAGAGGCAAGAGCCTCACAGACCTCCTGCTGGGGAGTCTGAGCCACAATCCTGAGATCTCAGCATTCTGAGTAGCCAGAATTAAACACATGAGCCACAAGCACCTGGCTCTTCATCTTTTTGTTTTGTTTTTGGTGTTTTTTTTTTTTGGCAAGCCTAGGGCTTGGACTCAACCTGATGTTGGTCCCTGAGTTTTAATCTAGCCTCTTTGGGTTTTGGCGATTAACTGGAGATAAGAGTTTCATGGACTAAAACCATGATCTTCAGATCTCAGCCTTCTGAGATTATAGGTCTGAGCCCCTGGCACCTGTCCCTAAAAATCTACTTTTGACATAGCTTTTGGGGCAGGGTACATTAGAGGTTGCTGTGGTAACACAGAGAAAGGAAGGCTTTCCTTGGCATTATGTGCAACTGGATGGAAGAGTTAGAGGGATGTGCATTTGGACTTAAAGAACTAGGGTATGCATTCAAATGAAAAGCAGAAATGTTGAAATGTTCCTTGTAGCTAAAAATATTGTAATAGCACAGCTTTGATCAGGACATGCCAATTATCAAACAACTGACATCATTAAAGTAGGTTCTGAAGGGCTCTTTGTATACCAATTACAGAGCTAAAGTCAAACGCACATACCCAGTGGGACTGAATGTCCTGAAACTCCAACCCAAAGTAGTCACATTCGATCAGATTCAAATGCTTCCACACTTGTGTGAGCAACTTCTGGCCGTCACATTTAGGCTACAAGGAGACAGAGGGGAAAAAGCTTACAGGCTGAGTGGTGAACAAAGATTACTTAGGAACACTGGCATAAATTTACAATCCACCATATAACTTCAGCTCATTTCTTGCTCATTTTACCTTCAAGAATGTAAGATTTATAAACAGCCACATAACAAGTAAATGAGAGAGATCTGTGCTTAGGGACTGACAGAAATACATTCATAAACACACTTCTATTTTACATTCTTATTATGATTTAGGGTATCTTTGTAACTTTACACTGCAGAAACCATTTCCAGTTTCAGGTAATATATATATATATATATATATATATTTTTTTTTTTTTTTGGGGTCTGGTTGTGGGCCCTGAACTCTGGGCCTGGGCACTGTCCCTCAGCTCTTCAGCTCAAGGCTAACGCTCTACCACTTGAGCCACAGCGCCACTTCCGGCTTTTTTCTTTTTGCTTATGTGGTGCTGAGGAATTGAACCCAGAGCCTCATGCATGCAAGGCAAGCGCTCTGCCACTGGGCCACCTTCCCAGCCCCAGTTTCAGATAATATTTTATCAAGTGAAAATTTGATATTTGCTAAAATGCTGAGACCAACAGTCTTACTACTTGAGAAGAACAGGGGCTGTTGAGATAAAAAACAAAAACAAAAACTTCTGAATGGAAAGATGTTTAATGAAATTAAACATACTGAAAAAATACAATTTATCTACTCTTATGAACTGAGTAAAGAAAAACAAATGGTTGTTAGAAATTTTAAAAAGTTCTTAATCTCTCTAAAGGATAAAGTAGTAAAACCATATTTCCTCTATCACAGAAATCAGAAGAATCTGTGAAAAAGCAGGTAATCCCCACACAGTACTAAGGAGAGTGTAAATTAGTACAACTTTGGAGGGGTGATTTGCAAACACTTCAATACTTAACACTTATTAGCAAGAATTTTCCTCTATGAACACTCTCATAAACTGCATATAGCTAGTTATACAAGAACAAATTTGGTAAGACTAGTAAGTAATAGTATGGCTATAATGGAGAATTATGCAGCCTCAGAAAGAACACAGAAGTCTGTGTACAATGGAATATAGAACAGACTGCAGGTTAGGTAAGATGAAAACTCAAGATCTCCATTTCTACGAGATGTATGTAATATGATTCTCTTTTATAATGCACATGATATTTACAAGTTTATATACAATAAACTTAAACTGTATACATCAAACCTTGAAAAATTACTACCACTGCAGGACTGATTAGAGATAGGAGGAGGAGGCATGATTTTTTTTAAGGTTTTTTTTCTTATTTACTCCTGTAATGTTTCAACTTTTTGTTTTTGGTCCATTCCTGGGGCTTCAACTCATGGCCTGATTCACTGTCCCTAATCCTCCCTCTCTCTCCCTCTCCCTCTCTCAAGGCTAGAGTCCTACCATCTCAGCCACAACTCCACCCCAGCTTTATGGTGATAAATTGGAGATAAGAGTCACAGAGACTTTGCTTGCTGGATTAGCTCTGAACCACAATCCTCAGATCTCAGCCTCCTGAGTAGCTAGGTTTACATCGTAGGCCCTGCATCAACCCATTTTCAATACTGAAAACACATATTCAAGTGTAGGAAGGGCAAGTCTCCATTTTTCCCGAGCATCTTATACTCCTTGAAGTTTAACCAACAGATCTTCTGTGTACTAGCAATGTTTATGCTACTAGAGAAATTACTCTTGAGGAATATAAACCTATAATGCCTTGAAATAAAGATGTATTTAAAGAATGAAAATGTATGGGCTGGGAAAGTGGCTCAGTGGTAGAGCACTTGCCTTGCATGCCTGAGGCCCGGGGTTCCATTCCTCAGTACCACATAAGCAAAAAGAAAAAAGCCGGGAGTGGCGCTGTGGCTCACGTGGTAGAGCACTAGCCTTGAGCTGAAGAGCTGAGGGACAGTGTTCAGGCCCAGAGTTCAGGCCCCACGACTGGACCCCCCCCAAAAAAAAAAAAAGAAAAGAAAATGTAGTGAACACTTCCCTAGGACACAGTGACTTACGTTGTAAATCCAGTTTATAAATGAAGAGTAAATCTTCTGGGTTGAAGTCATTCTGACATCATCCTGTAAACACTGCTGTGATACCATGGCCATCTTGGAAGACCCTGACGGTGCTCAGTAACTCAATGAGAATGTGCCTATGCCAGGGCTTCTCAGACCAAACTATGGAGCAGCTTGGGTGGTTGCCAATTGGGAATCATGAGAGCCATATTGTCTGTTGAAATCAATTCCTTGTGGACCAAAATCCATGGGGTTAAGCAGGATGCTGGCAGCTACCAGGAGGCTGAGATGTGAGGATCTAGGTTTGGAGCTAGACTGAGCAAGAGAAGTACCTGTGAGACTCATCTCTAGTTAACCACCGAAATGTTGTAGGTAGACCTGAGGCTCAAGTGGTGAAGTGCTAGACTGAGCAAAAAAGCTGAGACGGCACTCAGGCCCCGATCTCAGGACTGGCACGCTGGGAAGCAAGCACGCACATGCACACACTACCAGGAATTCTGAAGCAGGGTTGTGAAACCTGGAAAAGGTTTGAGAGACTGGCATGCTACCCCCTCTTCCTTACTGGAAAGTGCTGAATCTTGGATGCCAGAGACCTTGAAGGCTGGACAAAACAGCTGACAGCTTAACTTTGGGGTACTACATAGCAAGACTTCATGTCTGGACCTTCCCGAGGGCGCAGTCTCCTGTGTCATAAGAATAAGGGGACCAGGGTTGGGAAGGTGGCTTAGTGGTAGAGCTCTTGCCTTGCATGCATGAGGCCCTGGGTTCGATTCCTCAGCACCACATAAGCAAAAAGAAAAAAGCCGGAAGTGGCGCTGTGGCTCAAGTGGTTCTAGAGCGCTAGCCTTGAGCTGAAGAGCTGAGGGGCAGTGCTCAGGCCCAGAGTTCAGGCCCCACAACTGGACTCCCCCCCACCCCCCAAAAAATAATAAGGAAACTAGTGTCTCTCAGAGACTCTGTTTTGGCTCTATAGATGCTTTACTTTGCATGTATCCATGATGATCCTCCCTCCCAGTGGGAACTCGGGGCCCAAGTGCTGGTGAGCCTTGGTGTGAGAGCCGGAGGACTGCGGGTTGGATGCCTCCTCCCGACATGAACCCCCAGACGCTAAGAGGCCCCTGGAAAGGTCACTCACTCCCGGCTTTACAGGAGTCCAGACTTGTATCCTGGATGTGGGCTAATTCAACCCCAAATTTTCTGGAACCTTGGGGATAGACCAAAGCCTGTGCAAATTGTAAGTCATTTACGGCTTACCTCTACTTCCTAAGATAAGGAAGTCATTTATCACTTGAGGAAGGTTGTATCACGTTGGTGCCTGTGACTTCAGGAATACTGATACTTGACTTTCTGCACATAAGCCCCTGTACCCAACTAAATAAATACTTTGGTAAAGGGACTTTGGGAACCTGAAGCTGGTGGAAGGCTTCAGGCCCTGGAGCCCCACGCCGTACGGCCATGGTTGGTCTCCATTACTGCCTTGCCCTAGCTGCAGTGGGCTGGACCCTTGGGACCCCGGGTGTCCCGCTGTCTCTCTATGTCTCTGTGTTTTTCTAGTTTTCTTGGTCTCTGGTGTCTTGTCCTATCGCCTTGGGTTGCAGCCAGCAACACAGAACCATCCACTAGGATACGGAGTTATTCTGGGGAAGGCTCTCAGACCACCTGTTGCCTACCACTCCATCCCCTTCTCCAGCATAACCATATGGGGCATGATCCAGACAGGGCTCTTCCTGCTTATAGGGCTGGCTGCATTCAGGACTGAGGGTGGATGTGATGTGGGGAAATGACATACACCTCAAGAATTCCATTATGGGAAACTCCCTGTCACTTTCCTTTGTGAGCCTCCAGTGTATCCCTCATTTGCGATACCTCCTTAACACCAGCTGATTTACTTATTGTTTGGTTTGCTCTTCTTACTAGGTGAATCTGAAAGGTAGAAATTGGGTCTTCATCCTGTGTTGCTAGGCCTGGCATTTGGCAGTCTGCTACAAAAGGCACAACTCCAAACCCCCTCACAACGCTCTGATTCTGATGGTTTGGGGGGGAGTAAAGTCTTATGTCAAGTGAACAGTGAGAAGGCAATTCCCCCAGCTTCTCCCTGGTCTTCCGCCTGGCTATCGCAGATGCCAAGGTATCTGCTCACCTGAGTGATAGGGAAGCCCATGTGCCAATCATGCAAACACACATGCTGGGTTCAAGATGCAGTCTTATTTTCCAGGAATGTCCTACATGTATTTGCATATACACACATACACACTTTTCTCAACTCCCCCAAAAGCCCTTAGAATTGCATATTTTTACAAACTACAAAGGAAGATATTTTCAATGCAATTTAAATTTCCCCAAAGCATGGAAGATTTTTCCCCCCAAACACAAAGACATCTACATCCCTGCAGAAAAATATACATTTATAGATATTAATAAAAATATTTAAAGGACAATATTGGTAAATATAAGCCAGTGACAATTAAAATAACTCTATACCATAAATTTTATAGGAAGTTTGTTACTATTTCACATCAATAAACCACACAGAAAATAAATCATACAATTGGTTCCAGAATAATTTGAAGAAAGCGAAGATGTGGTTCAAGTGGTAGAGTGCTGGCCTTGAGGGAAAAAGCCAAGTGAGAGGGTGAGGAATGTTGTTCAAGCCCCAGGACCAGCCCCAAGAATAAGCAAACCAAAGAATAATTTGAAGGTTAAGAAGGTATCTAATTTAATTAAATTTCTAGTGTCTTTCTCCCATCTTCCCAGGGCTTTGCATATGCTAGATAAGGGCTCTGCCATTGAGATATGCTCCAGACCCTCTATTTCTAAGTGTGTTTGTGTGTGTGCCTGCACGTATGTGTGTGTGTGTGTGTGTGTGTGTGTATGTGTGCGTGCACGCATGCATGCTGGTACTGGGGTCACATTCTTTATATTCTTTTTTTTTTTTTTGGGGTCTGTCACAGGGCTTGAACTCTGGGCCTGAGCACTGT